GCCCGTCGGGGCGTCCTCGGCGCTGCTGCAGCCCTGCACAATCCGTGGGCAGGGCCCGTCATGTCAGTTATGTCACTAGGTGTTTAATCCCCGGCTTTGCCAACTGTTACTGCCTGCTTTTCCATTCTTCACCCTTGCTTGCCTTCACTGATCTCGGGAATGACGTTAGCGAAAATGTAACCTTTCAGAAAGAGGCAGCAAAAACACTTGTACCGAAAGCTTTCTGATGGGAGCTCTCGGTCTTATAGATGAAGCCACTGAGATCTTTGTGACCTGAGCTGTGTAGTCCTGTTGCATGGTGGTCCATCAAGACCAAACCTGAAGGCTGGAGAAATGGAGTAGTGGCCTGGAGGTGGGCGTTTGCTGCCGTTGGTGACGTGGCTGAGTTCAGCAGACAGTGAAGTGATTTTATCTGTAAGAATTGATGCAGTAGATGGGGGATGTGTGCAGAGACTTAAGAAGTATGTGCAATTTAAATTACACAAGGACAGTATGTATGATATGAAGGATAGAGAGGAAGGAGCAGGGTCATCAGGACTGTCAAATGGAAGAGGTGCTGGCTTTTTGGAAGGGATAGCATCTCCTCCAGTTGGCAGTCCATGTAATGAAAATGTAAATTGTCCAGTGCCCCAGCAGTCAGTAAATAGTATTCTGAGTGGTCTCGCAATAAATTCAATTTTTAGCATAACTGGTAAGTTTGATGGCTAGCCAAGCATTCTAGTTTCAAAGTTTGATACTGAAAAAAATTGAATTTAAAGCAAAATTCCAACTTCTGGAATGCATATAAATATAGAAGTGGTTGTTGTTACTGTTGTTGGGTTACTGGTTGGGACTGTTGTCCCTGGTTGGGACAACCAGGGGATCCGGCCTAGCCAGCACGGGTTCATGAGAGGCAGGTCCTGCTTGACCAACCTGATCTCCTTCTATGACCAGGTGACCCGCCTAGTGGATGAGGGAAAGGCTGTGGATGTGGTCTACCTGGACTTCAGCAAGGCCTTTGACACTGTCTCCCACAGCATTCTCCTCGAGAAGCTGGCGGCTCACGGCTTAGACAGGTGGACTCTGCGCTGGGTCAAAAACTGGCTGGACGGCCGGGCCCAGAGAGTTGTG